CTAGGATCTATGCACTGAGAAGCTACTAGGATCTATACACTGAGGATCCATGCACTGAGGATCTATGCACTGAGCTACATCACCAGCCCTTTTTTCATTTCGAGACAGGGTCTCCTTAAGTCACTAAATTGCCCAGGTTGAGCTCGAACCTATGATTCTCCTGTCTCATCTTCCCAGAGTGCTAGACTACAAGCATGTACCATACATGCCTGCTTTGTTACCAATTGTATTTTGTATAGCAAATCTCATTCAACCACCAAGCTAACCCTTGTTTTGTTTACTGATGTGTCTACTAGAAAGCAGGGCACATAGTCGTTTGTGCATGGTATACTCTTTTAATCCCAGCACTCTGAGAGGCTGAGGCAACTGAGTGATTTAATGAGACTCTGCCTCAAAAAGCCACTAGGACCAACCACTGCTCAATAAAACTGTTTCTAGGGGCTGGGGATGTAGCTCAGCAGCACAATGCCTGGCAAGGGCAAGGCCCTGAGTTTGATTCCTGGTACCAAAAACAAAAAAACAGGAAAAACTTTCTGCATTCTTATTCTTGCCCTCCTCCTCATACCCTGACAATCACTAATTTGTTTGTGTGAATGTGCCTCTTCTGATGATCTTTATATACAACTGAACCTTGTTATCTGTAGTAGCTATGTCCTAGCGACTTGCATGAACACTGAATTAACACTGGGTCACAGTTCCTCTGCTCACATTTTCATCAGCTGATTAATATACAGCTGTGTTTTGTACATGTTTAAAGAAATCTTCCTTAAAATTGGGTGCAGTGGCCGGGCGTGTTGGCACATGCCTGTAATCCCAGCACTCGGGAGGCTGAGGCAAGAGGATCGCTGCAAGTTCGAGACCACCGTGGGCTACAAAGTGAGATCAAAGCCAGCCTGAACTGCATAGTGAGACTGTCTCACAAAGACAAAAGAAAAAAAAATTGGGTGCAGTGGCACATGTCCGTAGTCCCAGCTACTCAGCAGGCTCAGGCAGGAGGATCACAAGCTTGAGATCAGCCTGGGCAACTTAGTAAGACACTATCTCAAAATTTAAAAAGGCTACTATGTTCTCTCTTGGCCCACCTTCACGCTGTAGGGTATACTTCCTTTCCTACTTTTACTTGGCCCAACTTGCCCTGCAGAGTCTGTTGCTTTTCCTACCTTTAAAAATCTTTGCTACTGTTAAAAAAAAAAAAAAAAAAAAAAAAAAAAAGATGAGCCAAGGGTGGTGGTGCACACCTGTAATCCCAGCACTTAGGAGGCTGAAGCAGGAAGATCATTGCAAGTTTGAGACCAGTTTGAAACCTTACTGGTCTACAAAGTGAGCTCAAGACCAGCCTGAACTGCATAGGAAGACCCTGTCTCCAAAAGACCAGAAGAAAAAAGAAAAAAAACCACACAAAAACGGATGGATGGATGGATAGATGGACAGATGGAAGTAAGGAAGCCTTACTGAATATATAACACTGGTTCATTATCACTGACTCATGGACACAGTACTGTAACTCATGCCAGAATAAAGTTTAGCTAACACATGTGATTTCTCCATAAGACAGTATAGTCTTCCTGTATACTAGACAGCACTTTAGCACTACATTTGAGGGGCTTTTTTTTTTTTTTAAACTATACTTGAGATCAAACCCAGAGGCATTCTGCCACTGTGCTGTATCTCCAATCTTTTTTTTTTTTTTTTTTTGGTTTTTCTCCGGTACCGGGAACCGAACTCACGACCTTGCGCTTGCCAGGCAAACGTTTTTGCCGCTGAGCTAAATCCCCGGCCCCTCCAATCTTATTATTTAGAGATCACAGCTCACTAAGTTGCCCAGTTGGAACTATGAATTTGCAATCCTCCTGCCTCAGCCTTCCAAAGAGTTGAGAATACAGGTATGCATCTCTACACCTGGCTGGCTATTTTAAAAGTCAAATTGCAAAATGAAAAGCACAAAATGCAGCACTGCGGACTACATGCTTATGTATGAAAGCTGAAACAAGAAAGTAGCCTCTTTTTCTCCATGAGGTTAGATTATATCTCTTCAGAGCACTGTATGGGTATACCACATTCAGTTTATCCATTTACCATCCCATGGACATTTACAGATAAAGCTGCCGTGAATAAGCTGTGTACAAGTGTTTGTATGGGCACAGGCTTTCATTTCTCTTAGGTACACTGTCTAATCACAGGAGCCTTTTATTTTAGCTTACTATATCCTTCAATATGCTTAATTTCATATTCTAAGTGCATTTTAACTCTACTGTTGACAATCTTAACATTTCTAATTCTCTGTATCTAATACAAGTACTATTTTGGGATTCTATACATAGGGTAATCCTGAACTGGAAATGTAGCTGGTCTGAAGAACAACACAGGCTGTACTGGCGGCTGGCTGGAGTGAGAGTTTGTGAACCGAGGAGGACAAAAAAACTTCAAGGCTGGATCTGAGAAGGTCTCCAGTGGAGTGTGAAAGCTTCTAAGGACAGGGCAGCAGAAAATCATGAACCGACGCTATGAAGACTGGAAGAGTACCAGGAGAAGAGTAAAGCAAGAGGTGCCACAAGTAGCACATTATTTTACGACTTTAGGAAATGGCAAGGCATTTAACAACAAGATGTTGTAGTAGGATGGTAGTAGCTGAACAGCAGTTAGAAAATAGGGCCAGAAAAACAGGGACACTGAACATACAAGGATATGACAAGTGAGAGCAGCAACTGTAGTCCATGAGAGCCACCATTTGGGACAAGTGCGCCCAGCAGGCCTAGAAATCACTGAGGGAGCTCACCATCACTCAGACGCCTGTTCTGCCTCCGTAAACACCTTCCTTGTTCTGCAAGACCCTCTTCAGAGCTGCCATACCTCCTGTCAAGACACAAAGTCTCCTCCCTCTCTCCTGGGTCTAGACTTGTTTGACCAACAGAATCCAGAAGGAGGGACTAGGTACCAGTTCTGCATGTGAGCCGTCAGAGGCCTAGCAGTTTCTTCTTTCACCTTCATGCTGTGAAGAAGTGCAATTTAGCCTCATGGACGAAGCCACAACGAAAACTGAGGTGCCTGGCTAATCCTAGGTGCCACGCACGTGAACAATATGAACTGGCACACACCAGCCCTTGAGGAGCTCCTAGGTTAATGCAGCTACATGAGTGACCCAAGAATAACTACCATGCCAAGCCCAGCCAGCCTGCAGAATAAATACTAATAAACTGCTGTTACTTTAAGCTGGTTTTTTGTTTGTTTGTAGTATTAGAGACTGAACCCAGGGCCTTGGTACTGAGCTACATTCACAGCACTTTTTTATTTTTTGAGACATGGATTTGCTAAATTGCTAACTTGCCCATGTTGGCTCAAACCTGCAATCCTCTTGCCTCAGCCTAGGCCCTGTATCAATAGGCCCAGCTAGTCACTAAATTTGCTTATTTATTTGCAGTGCTGATAATTAAACCCAGTTCTGTACAACTAGGGAAGTGCTCTACCACTGGGCTATACCCCCAAGAAATCTATTAAGTTTTAAGGGGATTTATAATGCCCTAAATCTATTAAGTTTTAAGGGGATTTATAATAACATAAACATAAACATAAACATAAAGACTGTGGCACGAAGTGTTACCCTATGTGCAACAGCCCCCCCCCCTTTTTCTTTTCTGAGACAGTCTTGCTTTGTAGTCAGACTGGCAGACTGGCCTTGAACTTACTACACAGTCCAGGCTAACCTCGAACTCCCAGTGATCATCTTGCCTCAGCCTCCCAAGTGCTGGGATTAAGGCGCACACCACCACACCTGGCTATCATTCCTGATGTACATGAGGACAGGATCAAGGGCACGTTACGAAGCACCCATAGAATAATTTTCTAGGAAGGAAGCCTATACTGTGCCAAATCACAAAATACTAATCCTGGCCATCACTGTGCCTAGAACCTATATCAAAATTTTTACCTTTAAAAATTCTAAATCAAGCACGTTTTACCAAAGAATGAAGGCCACCCCTAGGTTATCTGGCTCTTTTTGTGTGTGTGGGTGGAGAGTGGCCAAAACTTGAAAAAGGAGAGGATATGGGCTATGCATTTAAGATCTGAAGCTTAAAAAGCAATAATATTGGGGCTGAGGCTATAGCTCAGCGGCACAGCCCCTGCCTGGCAGTGCAAGGTCCTGAATTCAATTCCCAGTACCAAGAAAAGAAATGGAATAATACTGCATGATGGCTTTCTTTTGCAGCCAGCCTCCACAAGAGATGGCTAAGTGCTCGTATCCATCTCCTCTGAGGTTCCCTAGCCCTGGCCCTCACACCCTCAGAGAAGACCTTGGACTCTATAGCCGGAGTGACAGCTGCATGGCTTTCCTGGGCAGCCTCTCCTGGAAGGACTTCTCCTGCCAGGCACGATGGTTGAACAGAGATATGCTTAGCAAGGTCTCTGGGAATGAGGGCCAACAAGACATTGCCGAACAAATGTACCTATGGGCTTCTGACACAGAACTAAATTCCCATGTAGAAAAAAAATCAGGCCATGTGCAAAGAGAATGGTGTCAAGCTGTTATAAATCTCAGCTTCTACACAACCAAGTGCCAAGCGCATTGGATACTGTTTTTTCACTGAACATCAGCACTGTCAACCATTCAGCTGTGGGAGCCCTGTGGTGCCTTTCATGGTTGATTATTTTCACAGAATAAGACTTGATTTTTTTTTTCCGAGACAGGGTCTCACTATGTAGTGCAAGCTGGCCTTGAACTCCCTTCTGTAGCCCAGTCTTATCCTCCTGCCTTAGCTTCCCAAGTGCAGGGATTACAAGAGCGTGCCACTACACCTGGCTGATTTTCTCTTGTGAAAAGCTTTCAACTTCCACCTTCCAGGGTTTCCGCCAAAAAATGACTACCTTAGTAACTGAAAAACTTAGTACCTGGAAACTATAGCCTTGCCAATACCAGTTTCATCCATTCTCTGTAATTTAAGCAGACCTTACATTGATTCAGTTACTTCTTATTAGAAAGCCTCCAAAAATACGAGATTAAGATTTCACAATAAAGTCTGGAATGAATAAAAAACAGTCAAAACCTACAAGACAGTCTTGCTACTTCCATGGGACAAGAGGGAGGGCAATCGCAATGAGTCAAATACTTTTCCCAGAATAACATACATTTGTGTGTTCACCCAGACACATGGACACATATATCACAATCAATTCCAAGGAGTTCTAGGCCCACTATAGACAACTACGCGCTTTATCCGGCAATGCAGATTTCAAGTCTGACCTTGTTCCCTGCCCGTAAACCAGCCACTGTGAGCCACTATTAGCCTGGAAGGCCCTCACCACTTTTTTTTCTTCCTTCAAGTCTAAGTTCAGGTGCTAAGTGCTGTGGGAGCCCACCTTAAGCACCACTTCCCCTTTGAGGCATCCCAACAATCCTGCGTCACTCCTAGGGACCAGTGCCCCCACATGCAGCAAACTTCTGGGCTTGTCTCTGTTCCGCTGGGTTGTAAACAACCAAGGGAGGGCCTCCTCAGTACCTGTACAGGTCAATATTTCAAATGAGATTAGCCCTCCCCACAGGCCGGTGGGACCTCAGAAGCACTTCTGTGTGAACCTGAGGTGGTAAGGTAGGATTTTTCTTCTCTAGACTCTGACAGAGGAGTGCCTTACCTTGGTCGGTCTTGGTCGCTGGCTTCCAGTTCTCAGCACTAATTACCGGGAGGCAAACTTGCCCTTTTTCATCAATGTTTGGGTGATAGATCTTTGTTTTAAATGTGATCTTCGGTGGTTTGAATGGGTACTCTGCTGGAAAGTTGATTTCAATTCTAAAGGCTCCCTTATCATATGGAGGGTTGTCCTGGAAGGAAAGAGAAAACAAACACATTGTCATTCACACATCTGCAGCCAAGACAGGACTATTCTAATTGTTTATAGGAAAGGTTAATTTATTTCAAGTGGTACATCAATTGAGGACCTGTCACCTACAGGACAACCCAACAATGACAGTATTTCTTAGAGCGAGACGAGACATGTGTTAAGCCATGAAAAGCCTCAGATTGAAGTCCTGATATTTTTATACTTTTAAAAAAAAATACCCTTTATTTTTTAGGACAACTTTAGGTTCACAGGAAAACTGAGAGGTAAGTGTACAAATAACCCATCTACAGAGTCCCCCATACACACAGCTTCTCCCACTATCAACAACCTTCATCAAATGGGTAAATTTGCTACAATTCATGAGCCTACATCAACACACCACCACCTGAAGTCCACGGCTTAAGATGACTGAGGTTCACCCTTGCTACTGTGCATTGTATGGGTTTTGTGTAGTTATACAAGGTAAGTGAGACCATACCCTGCAGCAGCTATAATCTGAATGCTTGTTGTCTTCCCCAAATTTATCCATAAAAACCTAATCATGCAGGCTGTGAGTAGCTCAGTGGTAGAGCTTGTGATAGCATGTGTAGGGGCCTTGGTTAAACTCCAGCATAAAAGACACACACCTCTATAATCTCATCAGTGTGGTATTAGGACATGGGGCCACTGGAAGATGAGGTGGTCACCATGTTATTGGTAGCCTTATGAAAGCCCCCTCCCAGGACTCCCATATCCCTCCCATCATGTGAGGACATAGCAAGAAGGCAACGTTATGAATGGAAAACAGAACTTCCTCAGACCCTGTATGTTCAGTGTCTTGATCTTAAGACTTTCCAGGCTCTGCAACTGTAGAAATATATTTCTCCTGTTTATAAGCTACATAGTCTACAGGTTTTTAAATTTGTTTTTAACAGTAGCCTGGATAGATTAAGCCTTCTTGGAGTCGTTTCTTTTGCTTAGCAATTCATGTCTTTTTAATAGCTGAATAGTGTTTATCTGGATTCACTGTTCATTCACTATACCGCTAAATGAATTCAGGGCTGTACCGAGCTAGAGCTCCAGTCCTATTTTTTCCCCCCAGCCTTATTTTTACTTATTTTAACTTTTTTGTTTGTTTGTTTGTTCTTGAGACAGGGTCTCTCTATGCAGTTCAGGCTAATTTGGAGCTCACTTTGTAGCCCAGGCCGGTCTCAAACTCGCAACGATCCTCCTGCCTCAACCTCTTGAGTATTAGAATTACAGGTGTGCACCACCATACCGTTATTTTAACTTTTAAAAACCATGTTAGGGCCGGGAATATAGCTCAGTGGTGTAAGCACCTGCCTGGCAAGCGCAAGATCCTGAGTTTAATTCCCGATACAAAAATAAAATAAAAACCATGTTAATTTCACTCAGTCTAATCCCCAATATAATATTGGAAGGTGTATTAAACAGTAACTAATTATGTTAAATTAGAATAAACAGCAATGAGTAAGCTACTTCCCTTGTTGGGAAATGGTTTAATAAATAATTATTATTAAATAAATGTTACAACTTTTATTTATTTATTTTTTGGTACTAGGAATTGAACTCAGGACCTTGTGCTTGCCAGGCAGGCACTTGTGCTGCTGAGCTACATCCCCAGCCCAGCGTTAACACTTTAAATACTAACCAAGGAAAAAATTTAAAATAAAAGTTCAGCCTGTGGTGGTGGCACAAGCCTGTAATCCTAGCACTTGGGAGGCAAGGCAGGAGGATCTTTGCAAGTTCAAGACCACCCTGGGCTACAAAGTGAGCTCAAGGCCAGCCTGAACTGCATAGCAAGACCGTCTCAAAAAGACAAAAGACAATAAATAAATAAATAAATAAAAACAAGACATAATGTAATAGCAATTTTCCAAATCTAACCAACAATAAAAAAGTATCCAGTGTTTTCCTTATGAAGATTATTTGTTTGTTTTTTTTTGTTTTTTTTTTTTCTGGTACCGGGAATCGAACTCATGACCTTGTGCTAGCCAGGCAGGCGCTGTGCCACTGAGCTAAATCCCCAGCCCCTTATGAAGATTATTAATGAAATACAGTACTGGTATGCACATTTTAACATGCTTTCCGTCTGTAGGGAAAGGAGACATGGCTATGTCTCACACCATAGGATTCAATGTGTTTGATATGCTATGCTTAGGCACTCTGCAGCTCCTTCAAACTGCATTCATAAACACATTAGCTCTTGTAGGAGTGAACAACAGAGGACTAACATCACTGTCTCCCTCAACATTTCAATTCCTTTTCTAGCAGTTCACAGTAATGGCTGGAAACTAGACAGAAAGTTGGGAGCCGTCTGCTTATTATTGTATATGGGGCTCACTACACTATCAGTTCTAATAGAATTATTGGTAATAATAAAATAAAGGGTGGTGGAGGTTGATTTTATTTAGAGTGTTATGTGGAGAATGTGAATGGGAGAACATGAAAAATCTTTCTTTAAGTCAAAAACCATCCTGAACTTTACAATCTAACACTTAGAATAATTCTTTATGCCAGAGAAAAGTACTTTAAAACCAACTGAAATCATATTCTAATTAATCTGAGCCCTTCTTTTCATGGACAACTACATATGATAAAACAAAAATTAAAAAGAACCATTTACCTTTTACCTTACAATAAATGGATAAAAGCTGAGGCAAACAAACCCTACTATGTCATAGTGAAAACAACAGGAAAATGGCTTATTTCTTTAAAAAGAGTATAACTATGCATTTAAGCTGAATGACCAGACTTGCTGTTTTTAGAAACTCAAAATAAGATGAACAAAAATAATCACAGTATATTTTTAGCATTATACTGTTGAAAGCTGATGGGAATTTTAAAAGTTCATTTTTATGGCTTCTGTAAGCATATAGTATTACTAAAACAAAAAATGACTTTTTCTAGAAGATTCAGCAAAAACAAATGAAAGAATGTTCCAACTGTAGCTAAAATTACACAATACAATCTAAGTGGACATTAATTTCTCTGCTGCTGATTTGGATGCCATTCAATATTCTGCAGGCCTTTTCAGCTGACTCTGGAGAGCCAAACCTGACCATTACACAGCCCTTTGACTTTCCATTCTCCATTCTTATTTCCACAAACATGACATGACCACAATGACTGAATTTTTTTTTTTTTTTTCCTGACTGAATTTCTTTTAGTTTCTGCCAAGTCAAGTCAAAAGGCAGACTTCTGACAAATATCTGGCTACCTTTGGAGCCTATTCTCTCTCATCCCGCTCCCCATGGACCTGGACAGAAATCCTCTGTTCATATTGATGCTCCAGCCCAGGATGGCGCCGATGCCCGGGCCCATTCTGTCAAAGTCAGAGCTCACGCAGTCCAGGCCCATGCCCACGCCTCGAGTCACACTGCTCATGCCACCCACCCATGCCACCACTTATTCCAGATCCTACTGGAACCATGTTAGAAGCTCCTATTCTTCCTGAAAACCCTCCAATCACTGCACTGCCAACTCTACCAAATGAATCCAAAACCTCAATTTATTCCAGTATCATCATGTCCAAAATCTCGTTCCATGCTACTAGTCATCGCACCACAGTACAACTCTCCCATCCAGCCCACCCTACCAAATTCTCCCATGGTACTCACTGCTTCTAGACCACCAAACGTGATTCCTCCTCCAATCCTACTCATTCCTCCAAAACCTGGACCATCCATTCCCACACCACTTGGAGCTAAATTTCCCATTACATCACTTATGTTCAAATGGCTGGCCCTAATAGGCTGTCCCCCTGGATCAAGTCCCATTCCAATACCACCAAGATTACATGGTACTTGTGGTGTTTTACTATCATGTGAATGGTAGTCTTCACGAGGGACACACTTGCCACCCATTTTCACATGCATAGGTCTATCAAATAAAAACTGCCCAATGAACACAAGAATTGTTTGAACTGCTTCAACTGCTTGCTTAAAAGTGACTGCAGGGCCGGGGATTTAGCTCAGCGGCACAGTGCCTGCCTGGCAAGTGCAAGGTCGTGAGTTCGATTCCCAGTACCGGGGGTGGGGTGGGGGGTGGGGGGGGAAGTGTGCCCATTCCTCTGCTCTTGCCATCTTTGTCTTCTTTAATATCTGCTCGCTTTACAGTTCCAGCTATGCTGAACATTTCCTTTAGTTTCTTCCACCTAACTTTGAAGTCCAGATTAGCAATAAAAATTGTGGAACCAGGTCTACCAGCTGCAAGTTACTGATAACCTCGGAGGGAATGTATGGGTTATTGAGAATGGATGGTGGTAAACTCATCAACCCGAACCCCATCTCAGGGCATGGAAAGGACCCTCCTGTTCATTGCAGTGCCCTACGAGCATTTTCTCCATCAGGATTCTCTTTTATATTCAAGGGTCTTCCACTATGATCACATTTGTTCATAATTTCTAGTGCTTTCTCTACAAATTCTTCATCTCTCAGTTAAACCACATCACAACCCCTTGATTTTTCTTCCACATCCTTAACGAGCTCCGTGTATGTAACCTCACCCACTTTCTTTTTATTTATTTATTTATTTATTTATTTATTTATTTATTTTGGTTTTTCTCCGGTACCGGGAACCGAACTCACGA